GATTCCTCAGCACCACATAAGCAAAAAGAAAAAAGCCGGAAGTGGTGCTGTGGCTCAAGTGGTAGAGTGCTAGCCTTGAGCTGAAGAGCTGAGGGACAGCACCCAGGCCCAGAGTTCAGGCCCCACAACTGGACCCAAAAATAAAAAAATTAAAAAAATAAGGGAAGCTGAGAGTAATAGGAACTTTAATTCACTGCTTAATAGAACACAGATAATATACCTACATTAGAAGACAGTTTACAGCTCCATTTTAAAATAGTACTGGTATAACTCAGGACCTCACTCTTGCTAAACAGCTATTCCATCACTTAGGTCATTCCTCCAGCACCTTTTTACATAGTATTTTTTGAGGTAGGGACTCACTTTATGCCCAGATCAGCCTGGGCTGCAATCCTACTTAGGTTTTTCCATGTCCCTGGGGATGGATGATAAGTGCATGCTGAGCTCAGACATTGAATGAAACAGAATTTTCTTTTTTTTTTTTTTGTCCATCATGGGGCTTGAACTCTGGGCCTAGGTGCTGTCCCTCATCTCTTCAGCTCAAGGCTAGTGCTCTACCACTTGAGCCACAGCACCACTTTTGGTTTTCTGAGTGGTTTCTTGGAGATAAGAGTCTCACAGACTTTTACTGCCCGGGCTGGCTTTGAACCATGATCCCCACATCTCAGCCTCCTGAGTAGCTAGGATTACAGGTGTGACATACTGGCGCCCGGCTTGAAACAGAATTTTCTATTAATATTTTCAAACTGCATTTGACGGGGGAGGAGGGGTTAATAACATACTCCCAATAATAATGTCAATCTTCCCTTCCTATAATAAATCCTTAGGTAGTTTAAAAGATAAGGTCGGGCTGGGAAGGTAGCTCAGTGGTAGACTGCTTGCTTTGCATGTGTGAGGCCCTGAGTTGGATTCCTCAGCACTACATAAGCAGAAAAAGCCGGAAGTGGCCTTGTGGCTCAGATGGTAGAATGCTAGCCTTGAGCCTTGAGCTGATGAGCTGAGGGATATAGCACCCAGGCCCAGAGTTCAGGCCCCAGGCAGAAAAAAAAAAAAAAAGATACGGTTTTAGCCAGGTGCTGGTAGTCTCATGCCTATAAACCTAGCTATGCAGGAGGCTCAGATCTGAGGATTGTGGCTTGAAGCCAGCCCAGAGAGGAAAGTCTGTGAGACTTTTATCTTCACTAAACTACCAACTACTACTGCTCAAATGGCAGTATGCAAACTTTCAGCAAAAGCAGCTCAGGGACAGCACCCAGGACAGGAGCACATGAGCACACACATATGTACATATACACAGGCATACATACACACCACAGGGTTTTGTCTCCAGAGACTCTAAAGACTAAGACCTGCAATCTACCCTATCAACTAGCATTCCATATAATTCTGAGGGCATTAGATTTTGAAAACATGTCTCCAAAGACTGCTACTAGTCAAATTTCTAAAGGAAAATATATGAAGCTTATAAATATTTCCCAAATACAATATGTATTCCATTGGATATCTAATGGCATATAAGAAAATAATTTGCTATTACCCATTCCTCATGATGTATACCACTTGGTAGCTAATGGCATATAAAAAGCCATTACCTATTTCCTTATATATGTACTTCCAAGTGCCATATGCTATAACTGCTTCTGTCTGCTTCTTTCACTAGAAAGACAAAGCAAACAGACTATTTCTCAAAAGCAGAGGTCAGGAAAGAGATCTGAAAGATGACTATATAAACTAGTTAGAGAAAAGATAGGAAAAAGAAGTTGTGGGCAGTGGTAACAATACGTACAAAGAGGCAGAGAGCCTACCTTACCCTAATACTATTTGTTCTCTTCCTTCTCAAATCTATTTGTACTTTAAAACAATTATTTCTTTTGGTATGTAGTACAGTTAACTTTATGCTATATTTTATTTGTATACTTTATATACTTATTTTTATTCCCTGTACTTCCAAAGAAAGGGAAAATAGTTTGATTATTTCAAGTAGGTAAAGAAATACTGCAATAAGTACCACCTTATTACAAAATTGCCACCCTGGTCAAAGAAACTGTCACCAAAGTAAAAGATATAGCAAATTGAATATCAATCCCACTACAGCTTAATTAACATCAATCCAAGTCATGCTTTCCTCATCACTGGGCTCCATACTGGGAATATAATTAAAGGTCTGGAATTTGTTAGGCAAATATTCTATCACTTGATGCATTCCCCCAGTTGAATACTTTTTTTATTCCAGTAAGAAAGATGTTATCTATTAAATCTCAGGTGGCAGGAGGGAAGAAAAAAAAAAAGAACATTAAGTACCTAAATTATTTCATTGGGTTAAATTATTCATCTGCTATTATTTCCAGGCATCATTTTCACCATCTCCATTTTTTAGGCAGGGGTAAAATGGTTTGCACAACACAACAAGGTTAATGACAGAGCAGAAATCTGAACACAGGTTCACTCAATTCCTGGTTCACAAGTTCCCCCAGTCTACGACACACCCATTTACTTACCCAAGTCTAATCAATATTTACCTAATTCTTTTAAAGGAGATGGCTGTACTCTCAGGGTTTGACCTTGTTCTTTGAATGCTATTGGGGTTGAAGCCAACTGATAAAAAGGTTTCCTTTGTGGTGTTTTAAATGAGTTTGGTTCATAACTGTTGATTTTATATTCAGATTCATCTGCATATTCAGAATTATAGGGTGGAGCTTCTGAAGAAAGTTCTTCAAACCAATTAAGGCTTATGGGTCCTAAATCTGTAATAAATAAATAAATAAAAATTCATCTTAATTTTAATCAACTACAATATACAGAGTTGCAATTTCTAATTCATAACACCAATCTTGGAAGTAATCATGCCATGATGTTACAATATGGACAGGGCTATCAAAATATCTAGAAGTTCTACTCAAAGTTCAAGACTAAGTAAACTACCAAAGAACTGGAAACTTAAAATTCTCCTCTTTCCAATTACCTGCATGAGATTAGATTTTCTTAATATTCGTACAACAATAAACTGCAAGGTATGCCCAGTAGCTCACACTTATAATCATTAATACTTAGGAGACAGAGATTAGGAGGATAGTGATTAGAGGCCATTCTTGGTTAAAAGTTTGAGATCTCATCTTAACCAAAAAGTTGGGTTTGGTGGCATAAGCTTGTCATCCCAGATCTGTAACAATCAATAACAGAAGAACTGAAATACAGATTTAACTTTAAGAAAAATCTTGAAATGCTATTTCAAAAATAACCAAAAGAGGCTGGGAATGCGGCTTAGTGGTAGAGTGCTTGCCTAGCATGCACAAAGCCCTGGGTTTGATTCCTCAGTACCATATAAACAGAAAAAGTGAGAAGAGGTGCTGTGGCTCAAGTGGAAGAGTGCTAGCCTTGAGCAAAAGAAGCTCAAGGACAGTGCCTAGGCCCTGAGTTCAAGCCCCAGGACTGGGAAGAAAAATAACCAAAAGCTGACAAGCCCTGTAGCTCATGATATAACTTTAGCTATTAAGGAGGCTAAAGTCTGAAGAGTAAGCTTCAATAAAATCCTTGGGAAGACAAATCAGTCTCTCATCTCCAAATAACTAGTAAAATAATGGAAGTAGAGGAGACTGGCTCAAGTGGTGGAGTGAGGCCCTGAGTTCAAAGCCCAGTACCAGTACCAAAAACTAACAACAACAAAGGTGTAATACACAAGTGCTGAGATGTGACTAGGTGGTAGAATGCTTGTCAAGGAAGCACAAAGTCTTGAGTATTACCAAACATCAGTATTACCAAGAAAAACAAAGTATAAACAGTCGCAGATATAGATATGAGAATTCAATTGTCATCTAAATTTTCAATTCTGAGGGAAATTTTAAGTCCACAATTTTATACATAACCAAATGTCACTGGTTTTAGAAAAGGTTAAAAAAATTGTTTTGGACCTTTAAATGTTCAGAACAATCCAGGTGTCCGAGGCTCACACCTGTAATCCCAGTTAATCAGAAGGCTAAAATCTGAGGATCCTAATTAGAAGCCTGTCTGGGTAGGAAAGTCTGTGAGACTCATCTCCGACTAATCAACAAGAAGCTGTAGCTGAGAGTGCCAGCCCAGGACAAGCCTGGTATTGGGGTACATGCTTGTAATTTCAATACTGGGAAGGAGGCAACAGGAGAATCAAGAGCTCAATCCCAGCCAGAACTCTGTAGGGAATTCCAGGTCAGCTTGGGCTTCAATAGTGAGACTGATTCAAAAAACAAAGGTAGATAATGATAGAAAGGGTGAGATTGACTGGAATATATTGTAAACTTGTGGAAATGTACTGATGAAATCCCCTTCTGTACAATTAATGTAAGCTAATAAGCTCTTAGTTTTAATTCCTAGCATGAAAAGCTAGAAATTCCTCTTTCCATGTATCAAAGGATTAATGAAACCAAAAAGATTTGATAGTATCTGCTATTTAGAAACAGTATCGATGCTTCTGATTTGCTAGCAGTATTTAACAGGTCTTCCCACCGCTAGCTAAGGGGCCAGACCCCTTATTATATGAACAGTGAACAGAAGCATTTACGATTCCATAAAAATAGCTTACAATGTAAAGCAAGGTGTGAAATATTAAGTTCTTTGTAGCAATTATTCATCATGTGGCCTGAACTCTGGGCCTGGGTGCTGTCCCTCAGCTCTTCAGCTCAAGGCTAGCGCTCTACCACTTGAGCCACAGCGCCACTTTTCGGCTTTTTCTGCTTTTGTGGTGCTGAGGAATCGAAACCAGGGCCTCGTGCATAGGAGGCCAGCACTCTACCACTCAGCCACCTTCTCAGCCCTTATTTTTCTAAGAATATATTCTCTGTGTTATCAAGTTTCATTAAAAAATATTAATACCTGCTTTGCTGCATTGTGTCTTAAAAATTTCAAAAAATGTTGGTCTCCCTGGGGATTCAATAGGCATTTTCTTTGTGGTATTTCTCCAATGCTTGGTTACCACGTCTGCAAAAGAGAAGATAAAAATACTCTTGACACGGATGCGTTTCTTGGGTGAGAGAATGAAATAAAATCAACACTGGTAAGCTGGTCCTCAGTGAAACCATTTACTAAGTCCCAGCTTTGAGCTTTAAAACAGAAATGGCGAGGATGGCCGATATTCTGCAATCGTCCTGTCCAATCAAGGAATCGTTAGTCACATTAACCCCCGGAACAGGGGGCCATAATTTTAGCTAGCTGTCTTATGGGGGAGGGGACGGGGGCTGGTGGCTGCACTGTCGCAGAGGGCCCTAGACGTTATTTGGGAACTCTCAGTCAGAAAATGGTGAATATTGAAATGTACTGGTGTTAGGGAAGGCAGAGACAGGGCGCCGAGGAGAAATTTCAGAACGGGACAACTGTGACGGCTGGCGCTGAGCTCGGGCGGCCCACCCTGGGCCCAAGGGTCGCCGGACCCCAGAGGTGGGCCGCACCGCGGTCACACGGGGCGGCTCCCACCCAGGGGCGCGCGAGGCTCGGCCCGGCTCTCACGCCCGTCCCCTCCCCACACATCACGAACCCACACTCCGGAGGTCCCAGCTCTTTTGTGAGGGGGAGGTGGTGGTGGGGGCCGGAACAGCTGACAAAAACCGCGTTCGCACAGCTTCTCCTCTCGGCGAAACGCCGCCTCAGAGCCGAGCCACCAAACACCCGGACCCCACAGCTCCGCCTCCGCCGCCTCATCGCGGAGCCGCGCGCCAAAAAGCCCGCGCTGGTCATGTGACGCACGACGTCATGACTCGGCGACGTCGTAACCCAGCGCGCGCAGAGTACGCGTCGTCTCCTCCCGGAAGTCGGGCGGAAGTCGTCGACTCCTGTTGGCTACGGCTCTCGACGCTGCTTGTTCTAAGCGAAGGAAAGACGGAGTTCCGGGTGGCCGTGAGGAAGGAGAGGAGCGAGCGGTTACCAGGCTTCCTCCTTTCACTGGGCGGGCCTTCCCTGCACCACCCCGCCGTTCTGGGGACCCCATCTCCATGGAGTCTTTGAGAGGCTTGTGTTCTGCCCTCAGAGCTTAGGCCTGGCCCACGAAGTAGGCCAGCCTTCAGAAAAAGCCCCCAAAACAAAAGCTTCGGAGGTGTGCGTGGCTGTGGATGGCCAGGCTCTGTAGTCGTGAAAGGGGCTTGTCTGTGAGTGTCTGGCTCTCAGGTGGCCCTTGTTCAACTCCTGGAGTAGTTTTCCTGTCTGGCTTATTTCATTGAGCCTAATGTCCTTCAGCCTCATCCATGTTGTTGCAAATAGCAGTTCTCCCCCACCTCCCCAGTTCATCCTGTAAAGTCAAAGTCTAGGCCATGTATCCCAGACTGGCCTCAGCCTTCTTTCTAAAGCGTTGGAATCACCGGCGTGCCTGACCACTCCTGGGTCCCCCTTTTTGTTTTAGAGGATGAATAACATTCCCATAACAATGTCGCAATTTTAATTTGTCAGCAGACACAGGTTTTCCTAGTTTTGACTCTCCTAAGGATGGAATGCTGTAATCTCGTGATTCTGACTTCATTTCCTTCAGGCATACTCTAGAGTGTTGTGCCATCATATGTTTTTTGTGGTGTTTTTTTAACTTTTAAAAAATTATTATAAAGATGATGCACAGAGGGAGTTACAATTACATGTCACCTAATGAGTACATTCCTTCTTGGACAATGTCCCTCCTCTCCTGGCTCTTTCCAAGTTTTTCCCAGTAATTCTATTTTTAAGTTATTAAGGAACCTCCATACTGTTTCCTAAAAAAGCTGTACTTATTTGCATTTCCACCAACAGTATGCAATGGATGATCAGTAGAACAATAAATGAATGGAATTACTTCCTTAAAGCAGAATGGATGAGTCAGAAATGAAAAGCAGCTTTTGAAAAAGATTCAGGACCGGCGAATTGAAGAGGTAGTGAAAAGCAATGAGGAATCAAGTAGCAATGAGACTTTTGTAGGTAGATAGTGGTTCCCTCCTTCAATTAGTGTAATAGGCTGCAGCTCCTGTTAGATTCTGAAATAAATGGAGAAATCCACGATGAACCTGAAGCAAGAGAAGGAAGGGGCGGATGAAGGTGCGAGGCAAAGGCAAGGGCCCAAAGTGCGGGGAGGATATCATATCAGGTCTGAGAACCTGGTAAGGGATGGAGCGCTTTGTCCGTGTTCCGTATGGCTTATACCAGAGTTACGGAAACACAATGCCTTTGAACCAGCCTGGACTTGCAGGGCACAAACAGTCGGACTGGAGACAAAACATGGGTCCCCCAACTTTCCTGGCCAGGCCAGGGATGCTGATGCCAGCAAATGCCTCTGACTACTACATGGACCCTTACAAGAGGGCTCAGCTCAAGGCTATTCTCGCCCAGATGAACTCCAACCCTGGTCTACGGCGGGGCAAGGCCAACACCAAAGAGGTAGGCATACAGGTGAGCCTGCGGGTGGACAAGTCCGTACAGTGCTCGCTGGGGCCTCGAACCCTGAGAAGCTGCTCCCCTTGGGACAGAACTGGTCACAAGGAAACCGGGACAGGCTGGGGCACCTATTCACAAGTGACCCATCAAAGCAGCTTAATACGGCTGCGCAATAGGGAGGATGGGAAAAACAAGGCGCTTTCAGGCCCGGAGGAGGCCAGCCAGCGGCCAACATCAATGCCAAAGTCAGAGGCTGAAGATAATAATCAGGAGGAACTCCAACAGCTCAAAGAGCTGGAAGATGCTGCGGGTTCTGAGGAAAAGATGTGCAAGCAGGAACATGGAGACACAGACACAGATCTGCTTCAGAAACCCAACTTCCAGGTGGATTTTGTTTTCTCTGTTAGTTCTCCACCCTCTACCAACCCTACCTATCATCTGTTTTCTTATTTCTTTTTCTTTTTGCGGGGCAGAATTAGGGATTGAACTCATGCAGGATTAGAGTTCTACCACTTGAGCCACATCTCCAGCTCTGATTTCCTACTCCCGCCCCTGGTTATTTTGGTGATGGAATCTTACAAACCTTTCTACCCAGCCTTGTCTGGCTATGATCCTCGCCATTTACTAGACTCAAGGTCTCAGCCTTGTGAGTAGCTACAGATGTGAACCACCTGCATCTGTCTTGTTTTCTACTTCTGAGGCAATAAAAGGCATGTCTTCTCTCATTCCTGCCTTTTATTTAGTAAGGGAAGAGGAGTTCTGAAGACATGTCTTCTACATGACAAGTGGGTTTTGCAAGTTTCTAGCTTTTTAAACCTCTAACTTTTTAAAGTTGTGAAACCAAGAATCTGGCTACCATTGGAGTGGGGAGTGAGGTGAAAAAGAGTTTCAAGTGTGAGAAATACAAAGGCAGATTTTTCATTTTAAGATAGTGCGGGTGGAAAACAGATTGGGAAGGAATGAATGATAGCAGTGTAAAGAACCACACAGAAATCCTAGAGAGACAAGATACTAAATTAATGGGGTTGCATTGAAGCAAATGTGATTTTTTTAAATGCAAATCAATTAAAAGAGAATCTGTAGATTTTTTCCCCCAATATATTAAAAGACTCTTTCCTCTCTTCAGTTTTTGGAAGCAAAATATGGCTACTTTCACTGTAAAGATTGTAATACCAGATGGGAGAGCGCTTATGTGTGGTGTATTTCTGGAACTAATAAGGTAAGTAAAAGTGAGGGGAATGGAGTGGACACATTTATCTAGATGGAAATATGACTGTCACAGCTCCATTCTTTCTGGCTTCCTCTGTTAAGCTTTTAGTGAATGCACAGTGAATGTTCAAATTCATCTGAATTTGATATGGTCCAGTCCCTGAGTTGTATTCTAATATTGTATGTGGCTCAGTTGTTTTGTTATACAAAATTTCAGGTTTTCTAGTTAAACTTTTGCGCTTGTTTACACTGGGACATTCTGCAACCATGTGTTACACTTTAGGCCTTAGCTGGAGGAGATTTCCAGTTTGTCCACAAGGTGGGGCAATAAGAGACATACTGAGAATAAGTCCCCCTTTCACCAAATTGAGTTGTCAATATACCAAGATTAGGAGACACTTTATTCTGCATTTCCACATTATCATGGACCCTCCTATCAGAATGACTAGATTTGACTGCCACTGCGCAACTTCTGTCTGGTTTTGCTTTCCCTGAATACTTCCTTTTCCAACTATGCTTAGGTTTATTTGATAAAGTTTGTTTTATTTTTTGCGCCAATACAGGGGCTTGAACTCAGCCGTGTGTGTGTGTGTGTGTGTGTGTGTGTGTGTGTGTGTGTGTGTGTGTGTGTGTGTGTGTGTGTGTGTGTGTGTGTGTGTGGTCAGTTGTGGGGCTTGGATTGAGGGCCTGGGCCTCTATGTATTCAAGGCTAGAGCTCTACCACTTGAGCCACAGCACCACTACTGGTTTTTGAGTGGTTAATTGGAGATAAGAATCACATGGGGACTTTTCGGCCTGTGCCAGCTTTGAGCTGCAATCCTCAGATCTTCTTGGAGTAGTAAGGGTTGTAGGAGTGAGGTCACCAATGCTGGGCAAGAGCCTTGTACTCTTGGTTTTTTTTTTTTTTCTGTAGGTTAAACTCTACTATTTGAGTCATAGTACTAATTCCTGCTTCTTGCTGGTTAATTGGAGAGTAGGAGTCTCACAGACTTTCCTGCCTGGGCTGACTTTGGACCTGGATCCTTAAATATCAGCCTTGTGAATAACTAGGATTATAGGTATCATACTAGAATCAGGCCCTTATTGTTTTTTTCCCTTTTTTATTTTTTTATTTTTTTTGTGAACATACTGTACAGAGGGGTTACAATTACATGGGCAAGATAATGAGTACATTTCTTATCAAGCATTTCAGCCTCCTCCTTTGTTTACCCTTTACATCCCTTCCCTGCCTTATTATTGTTATTATTATTATTGAGATAGTGCCAGCCTGAAACTCTTCATCCTTATGACTTAGCCTTCCAAGTGCTGTATTACATGTATGTGTTACTACAACCAGCACTTGTTTCATTAGCCTCTAAGAACATTGGAGTTTGTGCTGCCTTTCTGACTAAAGCACTAGAGAGGGAGAGGGAGTTAAGAGGCATGCTAAGAGTGAATGAAAACAACTCCATATTTTGACTAGCCATTTACTAGACCCAATAGTGGGGCTTGAACTCGGGGCCTCATGTTTGTGCTTAGCCTTTTCACGTAAGGATGGTACTGCCCTTCTTGAACCTTACCTTCACTTCTAGCCCTTTGGATTAATTGGAGTTAAGAGTTTCTCACATTTCTCTGCTCAGGCTATCTTTGACCCTGGATCCTTAGATCATGGGCTTTTGAGTAGCTAGTAAATCAGACATGAGCAACCAGTACCCTATTGTTTTTTGTTTTGTTTTTTGAGAGAGAGAAAGGACCTAATTATGTAGCTCAGACTGATCTCCAACTCTTGATATTCCTGCTTCTTCCTATTGAGTGTTGAGATTACAGGCATGCACCACTACAAATAGTTTTTTTTCCATATTTCTTTTTATTAACACATGTTAGTTGTACACAACACTTTAGTTATGACATTCCCATACATATATACAAAGTATCCCAATCAACATCAGCTATATATCACTCTTCCTCATTCTACTTCTCCCTTCTTAAAACACTTTCAACAGGTTTTATTGCTCTATTTTCATACATGAAAATGTACTATACTACATTGGCTCTGTTCACCTTCTTGGTTTTTCCCTCTCCTGCTGTTGTCTCTTCTTTCAAGCCTGTTTTACCTTCTTGTAATTCAGTTTTTTCTTCTTGCTCCTTCTCTCCCATCTCATGCCAGGATTTTATTCAGGGGTTTAATTTAGGCAGTGTAAGGTCCTAGGACAAAGAATACAGCCAAAAACTTGTCCTCAAGAAACTTACTCTGGTGGTTCACATTTGCGATTTTAGCTACTCAGGAGGTTGAAATGTAAGGATTGCAGTTCAAAGCCACCCTGGCTTTGAATTCCACGGTGGTTAATTGGAAATGAGAGTCTTATGGACTCTATCCAGCAAAAAGCCAGAAGGGAATTGTGGCTCAAGTGGTAGAGTGCCAGCATTGTGTGAAAAAGCAAGTGACAGTGCCCAGGCCCTGAGTTCAAACTCTTATTCTGCATGAAATGATGCAAACAAAATATCAATTGAGGGCTGGGTATAGTGGAATCCATGGCATAGAGTTGGAACAGAAATTACTCAGGAGGGGTGATTCACTTGTCTGAGAGTCAGCACCATCATGTCCAAACAGGACTTTAATCAACAGGAGGAGGAATTGTAGCACAAAATCTAGAAAAAACATAGTCCCAATAGATAATTTCAAATGGTTCAGATATTTTCAAATACATGTCTGGGCTAATAGTAGACTGGGAAAAAAAGAAGGGTTTGGCCCACAAAATGGATACAATTATAGTAAGAGCTACTTCCTGTTGATTACCAGGATGATTCTTTGTTTATTTGGGTAGTTAACAAACTATAGAAAAAAGTAGTATCCAATTTGACAGGTAAGTGAAAGGGACTAGTATGTCTAGTAAAGCTTAAAACTTCAAGGGCTGGTGGCTTCTACCTAATCCTAGTTACTCAGGAGGCTAAAATCTGAGGATCATGGTTTGAAGCCAGCTGGGCAGAATGTCCATGAGACTGTTATCTCCAAATACCCACCAAAAAGGTAGAAATGGATTTATGACTCAAGAGGTATAGTGCTATCCTTGAGGAACAAAGCTAAGGGATGACTCCTCCAGGCCCTTAGTTCAAGCCCCAGGACTGACACTTAACTCCTCCCCTATTCCCACCCCAGAAAAAACAGACTTTTTTGTTGTTGGTCGTGGGGCCTGAACTCTGGGCCTGGGCCTGAACTCTGGGCCTGGGCCTGTCCCTGAGCTCTTCAGCTTAAGGCAGGTACTCTACCACTTCAGCCACAGCACCACTTCCAACTTTTTCTGCTTATGTGGTGCTGAGGAATCAAACCCAGGGCCTCATGAATGCAAGGCAAGCACTCTACCATTGAGCCACCTTTCCAACCCCAAAGAAAGACTCTTAAGGATCAAGGTTGGATTAAAATCAAAGTAGAATATCAGTATATGGATTACTTAACTTTTAGAACTAGGAGACTAGGAGCTACAAGCATATATGAGTTTGTATTAAAAAGGCATTTTTCCCCTCTAGGTTTATTTCAAACAACTCTGCTGCAAATGCCAAAAGAGCTTTAACCCTTACCGAGTAGAGGCGATCCAGTGTCAGGTAAGAACATACATTTTCATTGTGTTTTTAATGCTTGTGTTCAACATGAAACCTCTGTGCTAGGATTTTTGTAGACTTGTATGTTAGCACAGGAGTATTGAGTTTTTAGGACTGGGTATGGCTCAAGTAATATAGTACCTTCTTAGCAAGTATAAGACCCTGAGTTTAAAATTCTGTTTGGTGGAAAAACTGGGCGAGAGAAAAGGAAGGGGTGACATTGTTCAAAAGGAAATGTTCTCATTTCCTGTCTTATAAAATGGTAACTCTTCTGTACCTTACCTTTATAATAACCATAAAAATACTGTATTAAAATTTTGTTTGGGGCTGGGAATGTGGCTTAGTGGAAGAGTGCTTGCCTAGCATGCATGAAGCCCTGGGTTTGGTTCTTTAGTACCATATACACAGAAAAACTGGAAGTGGAACTGTGGCTCAAGTGGTAGATTGTTAACCTTGAGCAAAAAGAAGCTCAAGAACAGTGCCCAGGCCCTGAGACCAAGCCCCAGGATTGGAAAAAGAAAAGGCAAAATTATTATTATTTTTTACTGAGACTGGGACTTGAGCGAACTCAGTACCTGACACACTCTCTCATTGGCTAGTCTGAGCCAACTTGAGCCACCCCCCCACCCCCCATTTGACCTGCTGGACTGGTGCATTCTATTGTTTGAGCCATACCTTCAGTCCTGCTTTTTAGTGCCTAAGCTAAGGTTACAGTATGAGCCACCCATGCCTGGAGGGGGTAAAATTAAAAGAAACAAGTGTTGGATTTCATAAGTATTTAGAATTGTGTAAAATATTTTAGAAAAAGAAAAAGCATAATCTGATTTGCTTTCTCAAAGAGAAACTCACTATTTTGAGTTGTTTATATTGGCATCTTTGTTTATTTGTTTGTTTTGGTCAGTTGTGGGGCTTGAACTCTGGGCCTGGGCACTATCCCTCAGATTTCAGGTCAAGACTAGCGCTCTACCACTTGAGCCACAGTACCATTTTGGCTTTTTTGTTTATGTAGTGCTGAGGAATCGAACCTAGGACCTCATGCATGTGAGGCAAGCACTATACCACTGAGCCACCTTGCCAGCCCATATGGCATGCTTATATCTGATGTATTTTTTTGGTAAAATAACCTGTGTACAACTAAAATATAGGAAATTATTAAGTAACTTGTTTTTTACTGTGTGGTCAGACTTTGGTTTAAGTGTTTTACATATATTATCTCCTGTGTCCTAACCTTTGCAACAAACATTATTCCTACTTTACAGATCCAAAAGCTGAGGTCATTAAATTGAAATAACTTTGGCTTAAGGTTAGACTGATATGATTAAATCTGTTATTGGATTGTTTTTTCCAGTGTTTAGAAAGCCACTGAACTTCCTAATAAGTCCTTTTGACTTTCTTGAGGAAAATTTTAAACCAGCTTGAAGGAAACTTGTATTTAAGCTTTCAGAAAAGAGTGACAATGCTTTTTCATAATCAAGAAGCATTTTTTCTTTTTAGGCAACAGTGGGGACCAAACCTGTGTTTGCAATGCTACATGCTGCTCTACTACTGAGCTGCATTCACACTCACGAAGTTGATTGTAAAAACGAAATCCTTTGTTTCAGCATATTTTCTCTTGTGGGTTGAATATGGTTCAAGTAGGTTATCTGAAAGTAGGAATGAAATCTTTTTTGAAATTGTTCTAGGAATTGGGGGAGAAGGACAAGGGAGAATGATAGAGGGCATAAGATTAATTGAAATACAATATAAACCAGGGAGGAAATGTCACAATGAAATCCCTCCTGTGTAATTAAGCTAATAAAAAATTTCTTCCTGAGGTTGAAGGTATACCTCAGTGATAGAGCACTTGTCAAGTATGTATGAGGCCCTGAGTTTCTTTCCAGCACTGCACAACAGACAAAATCCTTCTCTCCTTCTGTAATTAGTGAAGTAACTATTTTAAACTAGTTTATTAAGAGCTTACCCTTATTAAGTTGGAAATGCCTACCCCTCCCATGCTAGCCAAATGCTCTAATACTTGAGCCCCAGCTACGGCCTGTCAGTGGGTTTTCTAGCCTGAGATTCTTAGTTGTCTTATGTGCAATATGACTACCTACTAAATTGAGTTTAAATGTATTCTATGCCCATTTTAATTTTTTGCTTATGTTCACTTGATTTTTCTAAAAAGCATTCCATTTTCCACTTGATTTAATATTGGTGGTTATTCATTCTTGAATGTTCTTCAGGTGATTACCATCGAGATGATAACGTAATTGACTTACTGAAATCTACAGAAATTTGCCTCTCTTCAACAATACAATGACTTTACAACACTCAAATTCCACATTGCTTCATCCTAACTTACATGATATTGTAGTGTAATTTTAAACTGTATGAGATACTATTTTATATTGTCAGCATTCGTTTAGTATTAGTTACCTATTCTTTGTATTGTCTTTTCTATCTGGGATTATTTTCTTCTTTTTTAAAAAATTTTCTTATTTGGAAAACACATTTTAATATTTTCTGTGGTACAAATGTGTGAAGGTGCCAAATGCTATTCTATCTTCACTCTACCCTCCTTTTTTTTTTTTTTTCTTCTGGTCATGGGGCCGAACTCTGGGCCTGGGCACTGTCCCTCAGCTCTTCAGCTCAAGGCTAGCACCCTACCACTTGAGCCACAGTGCCACTTCTGGCTTGTTTCTGCTTATGTGATGCTAAGAAATCGAATCCAGGGCCTCATGCATGCGAGGCAAGCACTCTACCACTGAGGCAACTTCCTAGCCCTCCCTTCTTTCTTTCTCCAGAGATGGGATCTTGCTATATAGCCTAGGCTGGCCTAGATACCTATTTTAAATTTTCAAAAATTTTTATTTTTAGATACCTTTTTTTGTGTGTGCTAGTTCTGGTGCTTGAGCTCAGGGCCTCACTCTCCCACTTAGCTTTTCAGCCCAAGCTAATTCTTTACCATTTGAACCATACCTATTAGCCTACAGTTCTTGCTCTTCCTACCTCTGTCTCCAAGTACTAAGATCACAAATGTGCACCACTATGCCTAGCTTAAGTCTGTTTGCTTTTTAGATATTTTTCTCTGCTTTGGTTTTCAATAGTTCTGTAATGTGATGAGTTGTTTATTTCCTTTTTCTACTTATTATATCTGTGAGTAATTTCTTGAATCTGTGGCTTGAAGATTTTTATCCCTTTGAAGAAATTTATCTATTTGGTATTCTCCTATTCTTGGCATTTCTTATAATAAACATTTTACTATATTGCTTTCTGTTTCATAGGGTTTTTTGTATATTTTTCTATTTCTATGCTTTTGTGTGTCCTTGCTTCAGTCAGTTGATTTTCTACCAGACTTCTGTGATTCCTCCTAACTTATGGCCTTTTCAGTAGCTGGGATTACTGGCATGCATTTTGATCTTTTCTGCTTGTCTGGTAAGATTATTCTAGATGTATACTAGTTATTGCAAGTAAGGCAAGCCACGGGACTTATGTTTCTTTGGGTTTGGCTTCACTTAATATAAATTTTCCAAGTCTTTCCATTTCCTAACAAATGGGACAGTGTCATTCTTTCTGATGGAGGCATAGAATTCCACACAAACCCACACACACCAAATTTTTTTGATCTATTCATCTACAGGTGCATCTGGGTTGGTTCCATCTTAGCTATGGTGAATAATGCTGCAATAAATATAGTTGTGCTGGTAGCTTTAGTATGGTCTTATTTGTGCAGATTCACCTCTATTTATAGGTTTCCTTCTTTAATGTTTTTACAACTTGCTAGTGCCTTTGAACAATTATTTTTAGCTCAGGTTTTGTAATTGTGCTGGCTAGAATTACCTAGTCTATCATTGCCAGAAGAAGGAATCTACCTTTAGAATATTTTCTTCCTCAAAAAGAACTTGTGACAATACACTTAATCTGCTTAAGATACTTAGAGCAGTGCTAGGTATGTAATACACAGTGTATTAGCTATTAGAATGTTCTTATAGGGAAGGATACTTCTCAATGAAAGAGTGAAGTGTTTAGGTCGTCTTAGGTAATCTGGCTCTAGAACAGGACACTTAACTGGAGTACCTCTCAATGTTGTCTACATCTTATAAAATGTATGAACACTGATATTAAAATTCCTATTTGAAAAATGGCATTGCCCCCTTTTTACAGCTTGGGACCTTCAGAAGACATAGAGCAATGACTATAATTTCAAAATTGGCAGGGTAAGATGGTGGAGCAGGGTAGTCTAGTCTTTTTATTGTGAAAATACCATACAGAAGGATTATAATTACATGGGCAAGGTAATGAGTACATTTCTTATCAAGCATTGTTGCCTCCTCCTTTGTTTCCCCTTCCCATCCCTTCCCATCTCCCTCCCCCGTCCCCCTTCCCCACCCCACCCCTCCAGCCAAAGTTGTAAAGTTCGTTTTTCGACATAACGTATAGTCTTATAGAATGTATTTTTTAAAAACCTATAACTGGCTGGATTGGGATAATTATTGCAAGTTACTGCTTTAAATTTTAGTAAAGATTGGGCTGGGTCAGTGGCTCATGTCTGTAATCCTAGCTACACAGGAGGCTGAGATCTGAGGATCACAGTTCAAAGCCAGCCTGGGCAAGAAAGTCTGTGAGACTTTTATATCCAATAAACCACTGGAAGTGGCACTATGGCTCAAGTGGTGGAGCTCTTGCCTTGAAGAGCTGAGAGACAGTGTCCAGGCCCAGAGTTTTAAGCCCCTGACCACCACCACCACCACCACCAACAAAAGAACAAGAAAAGAAATTAATAAAGATTGGGAATATCTGGAAAGAAAGGAATCTACCTTCTTTTAGAAAACCCCTTCCTCCTAGTTTGAATAACTCAAAATATCTCCAGGCATTGCCAAGATTGTGTGTGTGTGTGTGTGTGTGTATGTAGAAAATCACCCTTGAGACAACTGTTGCTTTATTATATTTTTATTGTTCTTATTTAGATAAATCACTTAATATTCACTCACAGCCCCTCACCATTACCTAGGCACAAATATACAAATTGACACAGACAGTACAAAATGCTTTATTTTTAACTTTTTTCTTCTGCCAGTCCTGGGGCCTGGGTACTATCCCTGAGCTTCTTTTGTTCAAGGCTACTACTCTAACAATTGAGTCATAGCACCACTTCTGTGGTACTGAGGAATTGAATCCAAGGCTTCATGCATATTAGGCAAGCACTCTACCACTAAGCCACATTCTCAAGCCACACTTTTAACTTTTATGTTGTTTTGGCATTTCTCTGATCATTTGTTTTGGAAAAAAATGTGTGATATTTGATGGGACACAAGTGGTTTGTATTACTTGTTCATAGTCTTCTCATGGATACAAGGAAGATCAAAATATCTGGGCTAAGATTAGTAGGGAGAATATTTTGATTTGAGGATTCTACTTGAAGCACTAATTTTGATAATTTACTGTCCAACTTATTCCTTGTTTCCTAAAGACCTGTTCAAAGTCTCGTTGTTCCTGTACTCAAAAGAAAAGACATATTGATCTAAGGAAGCCACATCGACAGGAACTGTGTGGTCGCTGCAAAGACAAGAAATTCTCCTGTGGCAATATTTACAGCTTTAAATACATCATATAGCGGTCACTGTGACATGTGGAATCTTACAACTTACTACACTGTCTTCCTTTTTTCACAGTTTGGCTCTGACTTGACATTGGAAAACAAACAAAGCTTTTGTACTTTTTTCCCATAGGTTGTATAATTGTACTATGCAAATAGAATAAAATAAGTGCATGTAAACTAGACCTTGAAGACACATTGATTGGTGATCCCATAGCACTGGGAGATGGTTGATGCTGTCACTTATGTAAAGGGAAAATGAAGAAGAAAACTGGTCATTTATTTGACAAAGTTATTTTGTTTTTTGTTTTTGGTCAGTGTGGGGCTTGAACTCTGGGCCGGGGTGCTGTCCCTGAGCTCTTCAGCTCAAGGCTAGCACTCTACAACTTGAGCCACAGGGCTACTTCTAGTTTTCTGGTGGTTAATTGGAGATAAGAGTCTCATGGACTTTCCTGCCCAGGCTGGCTTTGAACTGTGATTTTCAGATCTCAGCTTCCTGAGTAGCTAGGATTGATTATTGGTGTGGGCCAATGGCACCTGGCTTTGACAAAATTTTATAAGTAGTGGGTATATAGAAATGATCAAAGGGACTAGGTCCTTGTTTTCCCGTATATTTATTTCAAATGCTGAGTCGGCACCTGACATAAGCCAGACATTGCAACACATCATGTAGGAAAAGACATGGAGACAGAAAGGTCACAGTATAGAGTCAGGATGTGAATTCAACTAGATAATGATTTGTGCCTTATTTATAAGTTCTATGTTTGTTTTTCCTAAAATTCAGATTGTTGGTATGTGCCACAAAAGAAACAAGGTACTCTAATAGAATAACTCTTAGATTGGGAGAAGAGACATGGGGATTATGACATACAGGATGAGGGGAACTGAGAAGATGGTTTGATCGAAGGAAACAGCAAGAACAAATATCCTCAGGAGGCTTGGGAATATGGCTTAGTAGTAAAGTGCTTGCCTAGCATGCATGAAGCATTGGGTTCGATTTCTCAGTACCACATAAATAGAAAAAACCGAAGTGGTGCTGTGGCTCAAGTGGTAGTGCTAGCCTTGAGTAGCAGAAGCTCAGGGACAGTGCCTTGGTCCTGAATTCAAGCCCCAGGACTGGCAAAAAAAGAAAATCCCAAATACCACATAAAAAATATCCTCATGAAGTGGGACATGTTCTTAGCATGTCTCAGGCATGTGCTAAGTATGTACCAGATGTACTAAGAATGAGAAGACCCTAAGGTTAATGTGGGGCATAAATCTGAAGACATGCTATGGTCAAGTATATAAAAACCCATGAAGTAGTTTCAACAAGGCAGTGACAGAAGATTTTGTTTCTCTCTTTGCATGTGTGTGTGTGTGTATGTGTATGTGTGTATGCACACACATGCCAATACTGGAGCTCGAACTCAAGGCTTGGATGCTGTTCCTTAGCTGCTTCTGCTCTAGGCTGGTATTCTACTATTTGAGCCGTACTTCCACTTCTGGCTTCTTTGTGGTTGATTGGAGATAAGAATCTCACACATAGTCAGAGATAAGAATCTCACACATAGTCAGGGGTCAGTGACTCATGCCTGTAATCTTAGCTACTCAGGAGGCTGAGATCTGAGGATCACAGTTCAAAGCCAGCCCAGGCAGAAAAGTCCGTAAGACTCTTATCTCCAATAAACCACTAGAAAACCAGAAGTGGTGTAATGGGTCCACCTGTATCTCTAGTAAAACAATTTGTTTTTTTCCCTTCCCCTCCACAAATTATGCCAACATCAAATACAGTGAAAACAGTGGGGGAGGGACATACAAAGCAAAAAAAAAATCATCTTCAAAATATGTTAGAAACAATAGCAAGAAAGATAAACCATTTGAGTCCTTATCTTGGGGTTCATTTCACCTAACATCAACTGATCTGACCGTTTCTGCTTGACTCAGACATATACTAGTAATTGCAAATAAGGGAAAGCATAGGACCTATGTTTCTTTGGGCCTGGCTTACTTAATATAATTTTTTCCAAGTCTTTCCATTTCCTAACAAATGGGGCAATGTCATTCTTTCTGATGGAGGCATAGAATTCCATTGTGTGTGTGTGGAATGGAATTCTATGTGATATATCTATGTGATATACCTATATATATCACATTTTCTTGATCCATTCATCTACTGGAGGCATCTGGGTTGGTTCCATATCTTAGCTATGCTAAATAATGCTGCAATAAACATAGTTGTGCTAGTAGCTTTGAAGATTTACAGAGAAAATTCTCTGAAGAGGAAAGAAGGATGGCCAATAGACACATGAAGAAATACTCCATCTCCCTAGCCATAAAAGAAATGCAAGTCAAAACAACACTGAGATACCACCTCACTCCAGTTAGAATGGCTATAATTGAGAACTCTAATAATAACAGATGCTGGAGGGGATGTGGACAGAAGGGAACCCTATTGCATTGTTGGTGGGAGTGTAAACTTGTTCAACCACTTTGGAAAGCAGTATGGAGGTTCCTCAAAACACTGTACATAGAGCTCCCCTATGACCCAGCAATCCCACTTTTGGGCATTTACCTGAATGATCACAAACAAGACTATACTATTTGGAGTCTTTTGAGGAACCTCCATACTGCTTTCCAAAGTGGTTGAACAAGTTACACCCCTACCAACAATGGAGTAGGGTTCCCTTTTGGCCACATCCCCTCCAGCATTGGTTGTTATTAGCATTTTTGACCTTTTTTTAGTGTGTGTGCCAGTCATGGGGCTTGAACTCAGTGTGTGGGAGCTATCCCTGAGCTTTTATATTCAAGGCTAATACACTACCACTTGAGCTGTAGCTCCACTTCTGGTGTGTTTTGTTTGTTTTTGGTTCTTAATTGAAGATAAAAGTCTCAAAGACTTCCTTCCTGCACTGGCTTTGAACTAGGATCCTCAGATTTTAAGCCTCCTGAGTAGCTGGGATTACAGGTACGAATGAGCTTTTTAAAAATGGTTATTTGGAGATTGTTTTTGTCCAGGCTGGCTCTGAACTGCAGTCCTTAGATCTCAGCCTTCTCAGTAGCTAGGATTGCAGGCATGAGCCACTAGCACCCAACTCACCTTCAAGAATTCTTATATGTTTGCTAAAATTTCTTACTAAGATACTAAATATTTCATTCAAAAGCTGGCCTATGAAACTATAATACTGATTCTTTAACATATTGAATACATTTTTCACCCACTGATATTTTCAGTTATTTAAAATTTTTTGTGTAGTAGTGGGAATGTACAAATTCATTAGCTTTCTCTTATTTGTCTTTCCATTGGTTTTAAATTGCTCTTATGTATTTGATTCTGGAGCTGTGATGTCTGGATCCAGGTAATACTTGCTCTTGCTTAGATCATCTCTTTTTTTTTTTTTTTGGTCAGTCATGGGGCTTGAACTCTGGCTTGGGCGCTGTCCCTCAGCTCTTCAGCTCAAGGCTAGTGCTCTACCACTTGAGCTACAGTGCTACTTCTGGTTTTCTAGTGGTTTATTGGAGATAGGAGTCTCACGGTCTTTCCTGCTTGGGCTGGCTTTGCGATCATCAGATCTCAGCCTCCTGAGTAGCTAGGATTACAAGCGTGAGCCACCGGCACCAGGCTCTTAGATCATCTCTTAGATCAAAGAAAATATTCATTGTGGAATGAACAATATGGTGATAATACTTAAGCTAAAAATCTTTAAATTCAAGTAGCTGGTTCAAGTTCCTGTATTTGAACAGCCATTAGTACCTTATTAATTCTACAAATGTAAACATAAGCTTTTAAAAGTATTTTCAACTTTTAAGTTAATGAAGTTATTTAAAAATTTTATACTATCTATATTGATATTTAAAGCCTTGAGCCCAGAAACCTGATATGTACCAACATTGAGAGTAATGATTTCAGCCTCCCAAGTTGTTAGGATTACAGGCATGAGACCTAAGTACCCAACAGGAACAACTCTTGGAAAGAAAGAAGAGGTGCAGTCTGGAGCACAAGTAGAGTGATCAGTCCTTCACAGGAGCAGTGATACTGCTGGCTAAAGATAATTTACAGACATGGCAGTGAAGATGAGACTGCCTGACTTGCTTGTTCAATGAACTATGGGATAAAGCCATCAGTTGAGACAGATGGGAAACTGAGGAAAGAGGGCAATATTTGAAATTGGGTATTGGGAAAGTGAAATGGGCAGAAAGGTATAACTGTGTAATAAGTTTCACAGATGGAAGCTTGGAGCTGTGTGAGAAGCAGATGTGATTGTATTTGCCAGCTAGTCATGCCACATCTGACATTTGATGAGGTGTGCAACAGGTTTTAAATATGGCAACCTAATGTTTGTTTCTGGACAACTAGAGTGCTCATTCTTCTCTGGGCTTTCTCTGTGGTTGATTACAGAGAATTTGATGAAGGGCCCAGTCTTTTTTGTTTTTGGTGACTATTGCAGAGGTATAATCTTTGATCAAGGGCCTTGCATGCCACATCCCCAGTGAGTGCCACCCTGAAGTTGTCAACTGTGGCATCCTGCATGGCAAACCGTGTTCATGAACCAGAAAGAAAATGCATGCTCACCGTGTATTTTGTCTTTTTTTTTAGTCTAAAGAAAGTTCTGAACAGAATATCAAGATCACATCACAAAACTTTAAATGTATTTACAGAGTGAATAAGTTACATAGATAAACTTTGAATATGTTTCCGGTGTGCAACAGATTCACATGCACACATCTAATACTTGACAGCCATAAATTTCAGGAGAAAACTCAAGAATGGCCCTTTACATATATATTATAAATAAAATATGACATTCTTAGGAAACAAAGTGACAACTCATATTTTACCATTATGATTCTGGCTATCAAATGGATATTAAAATATGCATGCGTGACAGGTGAAAAGACATAGAATTGATAATGCAAGTAACTTTTCTCTACAAAATGGCAAAGTTAATTAAAATGAACACTCATCCTTCTGTAGTATAAATATGCTCATAAAAGCAACCTTCTAGTAAAAAGCAGCCAAGATCTTTAAAAAGAGTCTCTCTGGATCATTGACGGTGCAAAGAGATCTGGGCCCTTTAGAAACAGTAGCCTAGCAACGTAAGAAAGGTACTTCATAGCAGCTCCTTTTAGATACAGTAATTGTATTCAAATAACAGTGTA